CCAACCCTGAAAGGACCTATGTCAAGGAACTTGTTAGCCCAACCACACCTGTTTTTTGACTAACTGTGTTTTATGAATTTCTCTTTTTCCCCTTCACCTGGTTGTTTATTTATTAATCTGTTTCTTAATTTGGTATATATTGATATTTTAGTCATTCAAAGTAGTACTTGTTTGCATTGCATTGTATTGTGGCAAGAACACAGCACAGGATCTACTCTCTTAACAGTTTTCAAGTGTACAATACATTATTGTTAACTCCAGGCACAAAGTTGTACAACAGAAGCCTAGAACATATTCATCTTGCTTAAGTAAAACCTTATGCCTGTTGTTTAGTAACTGCTCATTTTCCACTTCCCCCAACCCTGGCAACCACCATTCATTCCATCTATGATTTTGACTATTCTATGATTTTGACTATTTTGACACCATTCATTCCATCTATGATTTTGACTATTCTATGATTTTGATTCTATGATTTTGACTATTTTAGATACCTCATATTAAGTAAGCTAGTGCAGTATTTGTTTTCTGGTGACTGACTTATTTCACTTAGCACAACGTCCTCAAGATTCATCCCTCTAGTTGTAGATTGTAGGATTTTCTTCTCTTTTTTTAAGACTGAATAATATCCCATTGTATGCTTATACTGCATTTTCTTCATCCATTCTTCTGTCCATGGACATATAGGCTGTTACCACATCTTGGCTCTCATGAATAACATTGCAATAAACTTGGGAGTGGGCAGTACAGGAAAACAGACTTCAGCACTAAGGAATCGCTCCCTATCTCTCCAGGAAAGCCCAAAGTTATAAGTTGCCCATGTTGCTAGAGCCCTGTTGATGTTTTCCACAAGTTAGTAAGTGAAGTGAAGGGAGGGAGCCCATCATGTTCATAATAGTGTGTCGTCAAAGAGGGGATAAAAAGGTTTTCAATCCTCTGACATCTCTGGTGCTGCAAGGCTGGGGGGAACCCTCAGCATCATTAGAAGCACTTTATCCAAGAGGGGAGAGTAGGAGGGAGAACAGAATGGCTCTGTTTGTGATTTGAAGAGATGTACAAATTGGGAAGGAGAAGGAAGTTGAAGGAAATTTTGAATTGACCCAGTATCAGTAAATAAAATGGAGGAAGAGAGATGATGAGTGAAGAGTATCTTGGGGTGTTTGTAGGGAGAGCTTAAGAGTCCACTGGAGTATGGGATATAATTCTCCTGTTTGTCGCTTTTGAAAACATTCAGTAAAATCTACAATGCTCAGCAATGTTTTGTGGAGCTGGATTTGCTTTTTTAGAAGATGGGAAAAAAGTGAGTGGATAAAAATGGAGCATCCCCATAGAATCAGTCACTTCATGGGTCATCCCTGTACTCTTAATGACCAACCTCTGTCTTGGGCAAGGCTCTCTTGTTCTCACTGCTCTGGAGCCTGGATTGCCATATGCCCTCAATAAATGACTGCTGAATGAGCAAATTCATGCAACGTCTGTAAAAACAAGAGACTGTGAGAGTTTGTTTCTCCTTTCCCCTCCAGCCTTCCTCTACCTCCCCAAGAACATAGATGATTTTAAGATCAACTGGGGTTTCAGGCAAAGGTTCAGCTTCATTTGTTCATTACTCTCTGATCTGCTTTAACTTTCCCTGGTCAGGATTGCAGCCAGGTTGAAACAAACACAAAACTAAATGAGAAAACAAAAGAATAAAATATTAGCAGCATGTTCCCCTAAAATCCTGTCTAGTACTAATAGAGCTCATAAGATAAGAGGAAATCATATTTAAGCAATAAGAGGACTTTGCTCATGTTGTAGACTTCTCTGATCGTGAATGCTTCAGATGCAGAGATAAGACCCCAGCTCAGCACTCAGAGATGTTCTCCACCACGCTCTGCTGGGAGACAGGCAGCTAAGAACACAAGGGAAAAGAATTCCAAAATGATACATGTCGAATTGCTGGCATGGGTTTCAAATGCCATAGATAGTTTATGCAAAGTCTTGCGCTGTTGTAAAGTGTAACACAATCCACTGGCAGATCTGCCAAAGCCCAGTCCCAGTTGTTTTTGAGAAAAATAAATAAACTTGAAAACATTTTCTAGCCCACTAAAGTGGCTATGTTCTCCCCTTAGCTTCCTCAATGCTAGGCTTCTAGAGATTTGAATAACTGTAAGTCATTGCCTAATTCCTAAACGATGGGATAGTTGATTCTTGGTACCTTTATTTTCCTTAAGAAGTTGCCTGTGATATTCAGGGAACTAATATTGTATTCCCAGAATCCACCAATTCCTAAGGTCAGAGTAAGGGGAACTTAGGTAATTAACACATTTAGTACTTTTCAATGTTTTTAAAGCAGTGAAACTTTCTTTTTCATAAATGGAATATTACAAGGCAGATTGATATACAAAGTAGATGAGTGGATATGCCCTGGTTGAAATGATAGAGTTAAAACTAAACAGACCTCCACACCCTGAGTCTAAGGCAGACATCTCCATCAAGCCCTAAGAATACCTGGAAGACACCTTCAAACCTGTGACCTAATCCATCAGTTAAATGTGCAAGGTAAACTGAGGTCCACAAGGCAAGATAATTTATCCACAATTACACATTAATTGTGGATAAATCAGAATCACCTCAAGAAGATGAAAAGTAGGGCATTGGAGTTTTAGCAGATTTATAGATGAGATTCTTAGCATCGAACCCTGAGTGATGCCCAAAGCAAGATGGGTTGTGTTGTCCTAGAAGGTTCAAACCTAGTCCATTTCATTGGATGGAGTTGATTGCATGAAACTCATTGTTAGAGAATTGATGCTCATTATTTTATATCTTTTCTTAATGGCTTTCTAAGCCAATTTTTTGGAGTTATTTTAATTCATAAAGTTACATAGAGTGATATAAACTGAAACACCTAAGTATACCAAGTTTATATACCATACTACTGGGAATTGACAGCTATGCATATTTTGTCATAATTGCTTCAAGAGTCTTTCTGTAAGAGAAATAATATACTGCAGGTGAGGTTGAAATCCCATTGTTTCCCAGCTACCAGTGCCATTTCCCTTTCTTGATACCATGGGTCAACCCACTACCCTGAGTATATGTTTATGTTTATACTCGATATGAATCCCTGGACAATATATAGTTTGCTTTGTATCATTTTTGCAAAAGGCATCATAAACCATAATGTGCTTATCCATTTGTATGTTTATTTTTATCACCCACTGTTATGATTTGGTGATCACTCCATGTTGATGTCTGTGAACTCACCAACAGCACTTCTGTTTTGATTGACCAGGGCCCATGCTGGGCCAAGTATTAATTTATATATATGTATTTGTGTAATCCATGTATTTTAATCTAGTTCATTTCTCTTAATATTCCTTTGCCATATCGATTTCTGTCATGCGAGTATCTCATATTTTATGCTTTTCTTCCTCAACAATGAACATATAGACTGTCCTCAACCTTTGGCTACTATACATATTGCAGGAATGGAATTTTTCATCCTTGTACATATTTTTCTTTTTTATTTCTTATTTTGTTTGTTTTATGTGTTCACATATTTATTTAATCTGGTTGAAACTAGTTTATCTCACTTTTTCCTTGTAGCATATGGGATACTTAGAGGTCTTTAGGTCAGTCTAACTTTTAATCTGCAACCAGGAGCTGTGAAATGACAGGCCCAATTCACAGAGGCGTTTTGAGAGAGGAGCCACATTAGAGAGTAAAGGGAGAGGACTAATTTGGGATGACATTCTTGCCAAAAATCTGACCGATCCCAAGAACAACTCAGGTGTTCCTATCCTTTTCTCCTCATAATTCGGTTCTCAGCTTATATTTATGCATGTGTATGTGATTACTTGATTAATAGTCTGCACATATTGCCTGCTCTAAGCTCCTCATCATCTGTCTTTTCCACTATTTTGTCCCTGAGTGTTTGGCAAATAGTATTTACTCAATGAATATCATTTAAATGAATGAATGAATGAACCAATTAATGATATGATATTTCAACACATGAGAAACTCTTGGCCAGGTGCCATGGCTCATGCCTATAATCCCAGCACTTTAGAAGACTTCATGAAGTGGAAGGATTGCTTGAACCCAGAAATTCAAGACCAACCTGGCAAACATAGTGAGGCCTCATCTCTACAAAAAAATTAAAAATTAACTGAGCCTGGTGGCACACAACTGTAATCCCAGCTATTTGGAAGGCTGAGGTGGAAGGGTATCCTGAACACTGGAGGTCAAGGCTTCGGTGAGCCATGATTGTGCCACTGCATTCCAGCCTGGGTGACAGAGTAAGACCCCGACTCAAGAAAAAGAAGGAGGAAGAGAAAAGAAAGAAAGAAACTCCCAAGTTTGAAGAATCCTACTTGTCTATAAATGTTTCCTGTTTCTTTTAACACCATTTGGTATTATCTATCATTGAGAAAGAATGTGTGTTTTTCTATGTGTATGTAAAGTGATGGAATTGATTTTCTTCGGTGATGGGGAAGCAAATGCTCATATTTTCACAGTCTTTTCTCTGTTGTTAACATAGCTCTGAGTGCAATTTGCAGATTTGTTCTAAAATGGTCTACTTGGCACTCATGACTCTGTGAGATCCAGTTCCTCAGTCGGCCTCTTTTGCCACTTTCTTCAAACTCTAGTAATGCCAGGCAGTTTATCACAACCTAAGCATTCTGGGTTTCTGCTATCTTCTAAGCCCTTGCTTCTGGTCCCTCTGCTTACAATGCCCTTCCTCTGATTCCTACCCTATTCTTCTAGAACCAACTCAAATATTAACTCCTGTAGGGCTTTTCCCCATGAGAATGTCTCCATCATCTATTTCCTTAACAGTGTTGAGGATTACCTCTTCTACATTAGAATGTGCATTCCTGGAACAGATTCGTGTCTATTAATCCCTGTTTCTTTCTGTGGTGCCAAGAACAAAATAGGTAGACAGTAAAGAATTGTCAAATTGAATTTATTTGAACTTCTGAGACCCTCTAAAACATTTTTTAAAAATCTTTTTCCAGGTGTGTCGAACCAAGGTGATAGATCTCAGTGAAGGTATTTCCCAGCACGCATGGTACCCTTGCACCATCGGCTACCCATACTCCCAACTGGCTCAGACCACTTTCTGGCTCCGGGTAAGCACAAGCTTGGAGAGCCTCAGAATCTCTAGCAATGGCCCACAGAAAACACAGACTCCCATGACCCTTTCTCAGCATGGTTTGTCTATCCACTAAGAGTGTTAATTATAAAGAACAGGGAGAAAATACTTAGCAGTGTAATGCTTCCTGAATTGGAATCCCTTAATTGCTCATGGAGTGCCCCTTCAACTCTCGTTTTAGCAAAGTGTTTGAATACCTTTTGTCTGCCTAGAACCTCCTATTCATTTTCAATTTTTTAAAATATCTCCTCCTCTTTGAAGTCTTTTCTGATCCCCACAAAATAAAGTAACTATTCTCTCCCTTTTTGTCCTACACATGTTTGGTCAGCTATTGGATGACATTTGTCATATGGTATTAAAGAACTCTCTATGGATCTATCTCCTGACTAAGGATCATAGATGTTATTGCATTTTGGTTTGTGTTTCATTGACCTACTTTGAATTACAGTTCCCAGCAATGCAAGGACCCTGCCTTATTTAGCTTTGTCTCCTTAATTCCTAGAGCAGAGGCTGGCATAGACAAGTGACAGATAATAATTTTTGTGGCTTTAGTGCACACTAGACCCTGTGCTAGACTTACTCTCATTATCTTACCAAAACCTCAAATCATTTCAGTGATGTCAATATTTGTTTTAATCCACTACTTAAAAATGATGAAACTTAAACGCAGAGTGGCCAAACCATTCATTCAATGTCACACGGCTAGGTAGGAGTAGAGCCAAGAGGGAAACAGAGTGTCTGATTTCAGAGCCCATGCCATTCACTGGTAAGGTTCATTGCCTCCTCCTTTTCATCTTAAGCCCCTGATAAGGAACCCATTTCCCAAATGGAAGATTCTTTTTGAATCCACTGCAATGTGACTTCCCTGCCACCACATCACTAAGCATGTGTGATCCTCTCATGTCATCTCGATTTCAGGCATATTTTTCTCAGCCAATGGTTGCCGCAGCTGTCATTGTCCACCTGGTGACCGATGGGACATATTATGGGGACCAAAAGCAGGAGACCATCAGTGTGCAGCTGCTTGATACCAAAGATCAGAGTCACGATCTAGGTAAGCATGTTCTTTTAGGCTGTCTTCCTCTTGGAATCTGTTTCCAAGTCTGCCTCATGGGCAATTATGAAGATCAGCTTAGAATGAGAATGACCTTAGAATCTTTTCCCTCTTTCTTGTTTCTTTTCTATTTGTCATTCTTGTTGCCCAAGATGTGGTTGTATCCAGAAACCTAGATCTGGCAGACACAGGGACAAGGGTCTAGTGTCCAAGCCCTCCCTTCCATAGCTCCCTTTTGCCAGAGACTTTCAACCTCAGGCATTCCATAAGATCCCAAAAAGACCATGGGAAGGGGACTAAATAAGGACCATTTTCCCATTATACATTTCAACACCTGAGGCCCAAAGAGAGGTGCTGAAAGACTCCAGGTGGAATGGCAAGTCAGAAATGAGTGGTCAGGTTTTCAAAATCTTAGCCCATTGTTCCTTACCGTATAACCAGGGGTACCCTTGAAAACACCTCAAGTAGTAAAGTTTCCCATGGAAGTAGGAATAAGAAATATTTTTTTATTATGTTCAAGAGTATGAAGGTAGATGAAAAGTCAAGTTCTACCTATTGAGAAGCTGCCTGAGTTGAGGGATGAGAAAGAGGACAAGGGCCAGACTTGTCACTTGTACTACCCCTCCGCACACCCATGTGCACCAGGGGACAGGGCCTGACTTCAGAGATGACAGCCAAGGTTTGAATCTTGTCCCCACCACTCACTTACCTTAGCCTCTCAGAGCCTCATTCAGAACTTTGCTTTCTTCATATGCACACTGAGGACCATGATGGCCACTTTACAGTCAATGTAATAGCTGTGACCATGCCTAGCACAAGACCAGGCACTAAGAAATTCCTGTGATACCCTTCCATTTCCAGTCTGCCCTGGAAAGCTCTGGGCAGCCATTCCAAGTGTTTGGAATTCCAGACCAGCACTGAAGCCTGGACTTCAAAGCTGTGCCCACACCACTCCTCGGAGAGCTCATTTCAAAGACACTTACAAAGCAAGCAGGCAAGGGGTCACTTCAGGGTCAGGTAAAAGCCAAGAGAGCAAGGAGGTTTTTTTTTGTTTTGTTTTGCCTTTATGCTTATTTATTTAGTTAGTTTTAAAGGCAAGGGGGAATATATTAGTAAGGAAGAGAAAGAAAACCCCTCTGGACTTATCTGGATTCCTGGGAAATTTCCCTAAGTGAGAAGCAAATATTTTCATAGTTGTCCTGGCATCGCCACAGGCTCTAAGAAGAAGTTTATTCAGCAGAGAGGGGAAAAGTCTTAGATCCTGCTACTGATGCCTGACGCTTTTTTTGCATTTGTTTCACCACTGCCACCATGTTCCCTCGTCCTTTGCACCCCAACCATTTCTAGCAGAGGCTTCACAGCTCTAAGACGGCCCAATTGAGAAGGGCACCTGCCAGACTTGGAGCTTCAGGTGTCTATACAGGAAAATTCTCCCAACACAGCAAACCTACCAGGTTGTGGAGAGGATTGTGCCATATCTTTTAGATATGGAAACTGAGTTTTAGGAACTTGTTGGAGTCCCACCAATAGAAAGGGGCCACATCAGCATTTGCACCCAGATCCACCACACAACAAAGCCAGCTTCCCTTTTGCCATCCCCATCACCCAACATCATACTCTTCCCTTGCCCCTCGATGTACCTTTTCTCCCTGTCCCTCTCACTTCTTCCTTGAAGTCTAGAAACCTGCTGTTTGTCCTAGAAAGAATTGAGGACTCTTGAGTGAGGCAAGCTTGGATCCTCCTTGGACTTTGCCTCGTCTGCACTGTCCCTCTGGAAAACGACCTCCTGTCGTGATTCTCAGTCTCCTCTGCAGACTCTGGGCAAGAGGGCTTTCCTTTGCAGGGCTGCTTCCAGGTCTACAATTTACTTATGAGGGTGGGCTTTTCACCCTGAGAAGGGACTGCTGCTATGAATTATTTCCATCACCTTTATAATTGACTAGGCAGGCAGCCTGAAAACCAGCAACTTGGACCACCAAGCCCCGTGGCAGCAATGTGGGAGGGAGGTGAGGGCCTGGGATGCTTGGCTGAGGGGTGGCCATTTGGGGGAGGGAGAGGGACTTTGGGCAGTAGGTGAAGGGGAAGCTGAAAGGGCAGGGAGGCAGGGGGATTGGAAAGATTTGGAGTCAAGAAAAAAAGGCAGACAAAGGAACTTTCAATCAGACTCAAAATCCTCACTGGCCGCCCAATGGTGCTTTTGTGCAGTGACATGAAAGGGTCTGGGGGCTTCGGGAAGGGCCCGTTGGGGAGGGCGTGACTGGCCTTGAGTAATGAGCCTGGCCCCTCGGCCCCTCTGTCTCCCCTGACAGGCCTCCATGTCCTGAGCTGCAGGAACAATCCCCTGATTATCCCTGTGGTCCATGACCTCAGTCAGCCCTTCTACCACAGCCAGGCAGTCCGTGTGAGCTTCAGTTCGTCCCTGGTCGCCATCTCGGGGGTGGCCCTCCGCTCCTTCGACAACTTTGACCCTGTCACCCTGAGCAGCTGCCAGAGAGGGGAGACCTACAGCCCTGCTGAGCAGAGGTAAGGGATCCTGGGCCTCCTTGCCAAGGGCCATTTGTGGCTGAGAGGAGACTGTGATTTTGAAGCTGGGTAGCCATTTGTGTGGCTGTAAAAAGTCTGTGTGTTTCTCCCTTCTCCATCCTCTGGCCTCTGGTCACCTCTGCCTTTGGGCTTGAGAGGCCCACTAGTCTCTGAATTCCTGGGGCAACTGAGGGAAACAGAAATGTGTGATGGAAAAAGAACCTCACTCACCTGCTACAGAGCTAACAACAGCTTTTGGGGTGATCCTGGAAACGTTAGTTTTCTTCTCTGGGCCGCGATATTGATGTTCCCACCCAAAACAGAGAGGATGGTTGGTTTTGTTCTCTTTCAGTTCTGAAATTCTGGAATACTCTGCTGCCTAGGTGGCCCAAGCAGGGGGAATAACTCTCCTAAACTGAGGGGGATAGCATAAGACATATTTGCTCCATCTCAGCTTACTGAGCATTTCAGTGATGGATGAAATCTCTTGTGTTCCCCAAGCCTAGTCTCTTAGATCCTGTGAGTGGCCTACAAGCCTGTGTTTGAACTGTATAACATCACTCCATCAATGCTTGTGATTGGGCTTCTCTTAATGCACCTAGGTTGGAGCTAGGAGAGAATAGTGGTTTGTTTGTTTTTTTAAACAATACGTGTTTTGGAAATACTCTGACTTGAGTTTGAATACCCGCATTACCACCTCTTAAATGTGTATCCTTGAGCAAGTCACTTCACTTCTCTGAGTCTCAGATTTTTAGTTTGAAAGAAGCAGATAAATCCACCCTACAGGGTGATTGTGATGGTTCAATGTTTCACTGTAAGTAAAAGTGTTCTTGCAAACTCTTAGACACTGTGCAAAAATAATATATTAATAAAGAATATTTTTAACCACTTTTTTATGGTGATAATGGCGCTTCTCTACACAGAGTTCTGTATAAAGTTCTGAAAGTTCTGAAAGTTAGAGTTGGAAGACGGCTCAGAGATCGCCTTTTAAATACAACATATTCAAACTTTTTGTGCTACTATGTAGGGTTCCAGGTCCCAGAAAGGGGGAAAATGAGTCCAGAGTTGAACAGCATCTCTCAGGTTTGTTTCATGGAATCCAGAAGGAGAAAGAGTCATCATTTTGGTGGGCTCCCCTAAAATGAGGCCTTCTGAAACTGGAGTCAGCCCTGTCCCACATACCTGGGGGCAAAGAGTCAAGGGGGACATCAGTCTTTCCCACGCCCCTGCTACCACAGAGGACGCAAAAGGTGGTTGCAAAACTCACATTGTTTAGCACCCGCTGTCCCTCGCTTCTGTTGTGCAAAGTCTGTTGCAATCATTCGGAGGCGAGACCTCCTTCAGTATCACTCATTGTCATATTTTACTCTACAAGGACTTTTAAAAAATCCTTTGTTCTCCAGACTATAAAAATAAGTTAACTCTCAGAACTGAGGGACACAATGATGATGGAAATCTATCAGACTTTGTCCACAATGCTTCTCCATTCTTAACCAGCCCTTCTGACCAGTCTCAAGTTGACTGAGCCCTGCACTGACTACTTTGAATTCTTAATTAATGGTTCCTGTGCCCTAAGTAAAAAGTAAGAAGTGCTTAACTTCTGAAGCAAATCAGTCAATACGTATTTGTTGAGCTCTTTGACTAGTTGTGGAAGCAACATTAAGCGAGGGTAAAGTGTTACCCTGCCTCTGACTCGCTGTTTGACTCTGGGTTACTCATTTCCCCGCTCTGGGTCTGTTTCCCCAACTATGAAATAAAAATGATGAATTGCGTGTTCTCTGTAGTTCTTTCCAGTTCTAACAGTATGTGATGCCCAAATGCTAGGAAAGGTGAGAGGGAAAGAAGGGACAAACATTTGTCGAGACCCAGGTATGCTGAAGCAGTATCTTATTTCATTCTCACACCTGTCCTGGGAGGTATGGCTCAGAGAAACAGAAGGAATGAGTCATGGGCATCCAGGCAGTAAGAGGTAAAATCCTAGGCTATGCTCTGCCTATCACACTCAGCAAGACACATGCAGCAGAGAAGAGGTATTTTTTAATAATTGGTCAGGTGTGAACTGTGGAGATGTGGCGATGCAGCCCTGAGGTCCTTGGTGAGCTTGTCCCTGAACTTGTACTGGGCTGGGGCAAGCCAATTCCTGTGGGCTGAAGCTGTAGGAGTTCCTCCTGAATGCCCCAGTGGGGGAAAGGACAGCAGCTATTTGTGGGGGGCTGAAGAGGTATTTACCAAAATAGGCAGAGATCTGCAAATGTACAAATGCGTTACAGCAAACAAACAAGAAGTAAAGAAGAATTAGCAACAACTGTAAAAAGCCATAGGCCATTGTTCTTCATCCACAAAACATCAAGGTAAATAGCATCAGTTTTGATAGCACCTACTACCAGCATGCTTTGCTTTCTCCTTCTCCCTCCAGGTCTCCCTCTCCTTTCCTCCCTCCTCTCTCTCCCCTCCATCTCCTCTCTCTTCCCCTTCTCTCTCACTCCTTTTCTGCTCTCATTTTCCTTCTCTTCTCCTGAGAGCAGTGTGACATCCACTGCCACTACAGCAAAATCAATTCAGCCAGTGCGTTCTGATCTATATTCAAAGGCCTCCAGTCCCTTTGTGGTACTTGGTATAAAGTTAGAGACCCATGAAAACAACATCAGGTTTCAAATGAGAGGTCCAGTTGAGGAATTCTAGCTAAATCTCTACTCCACGCAGTGTTGGGAAAAGGGGAATAGGTGGAGGTCCACAGTGGTGCTGGGAGTGGTGAGGTTAAGGAGCTTCTTCAATGAGAAAAGCTGCAGTCGTGATGTTGAGACTCCGGTGTGTCTGTTTCTCTCTCTCTATCTCTATCTCTCTCTCTCTATCTCTCTCTCTGACACATGCGCGCGCACACACACACACACACACACACACACACACACACACACAC